GAGTTTAACCCCTTGGCTACTGTGGGCGCCCATAGGCGCTTAGAAATTTTGCGTTCGTGACACGAAGGGCGTTTATAGGTGCTCGACGGAATTTTGCTTTCTGACACGAAGGGCGCTTGTTTTCACAAAAATGGTGCACGTCGTAACTCAATTCCTGCCGTATGGCATGGCCACTGCGTATCAAAGTCTGCCGTAATCAAGGGGTTAAACGGGGTGCACCGTGGTAAACGGTGGTTCAGATCCAATGGCGGTTGGGATTTAATACGATGCGATTGATAGATCGTTCGCTCGCGAACGTACGACGCTACATAGATTCCTGCGAGCGCACTTACTTCAAAGGATAAAGCCAGTTCCGCGAACAGTTCCGGCTAATTTCACGACAGGCATCTTAAGCCAGCTATATTGCATCCGTGAAATAATAATAAAGCATAAATGGATCAAGTTTACGGCTCATCGTGCATGCGAGAGCTGCGAGTATGCATTTTATCGGTAGTTCCGCAACCTTTATGAGGTTGCTCGCACTACGAGGAAGGATGTGCATCTCTTTACTTTAACCTTACTGCCTGTATCTCGAAACGCCGCGGGAGAAGTATGCCCGGAATTCGCGTGGATAAACATGTCGGTATAATAGAATTTCTTCGTCCACGGCGCTGCCTGAATCGCACCCCCGGTGAATCTGCAGCGAAAAATCGACTTCGTACGGGCTTCGTGGGTAAATTCTCGAATTTTAATTCCGCGTCACGTTAGATCACGACGACCCACTAATGGCCCAACGAAAATGTCCCTCCTGACGACGTAACGCCGCATGAAACAGTAGGAGGTCCGGGTAATGCGTCTTGCCACCCTCGGACAGCAGCCCGACCACCGTCATCAATCAGGCTCGCATCGCACCAACTTATGTAGTATTTATTTTCATTAAATATTAGTCGCTCGCACCATCCGCTATTCTTTTCTTCTCTCGTACCATACAGGAAGCGTTTCTTCGTTTCGTTTCTTCGATAATATCGTTCAGAATGATATCGAATGGAAATTTGACACTACCGTCGCGCGATACCTGCTCGAATCCGAAAGCAGAGGGGAAGCGAAACCGAAAGCGAGTATTCAAATTTCATGACGAGTTTCTTCATCGCGATAGCGCTCGTGGAACACTTTCGATTACTAATCGTATTCCGTGATCGAGGTTTCGATTTCCGATATTCCGATTAATTTCATTATGTCCAACTTGGCAGGAAGACATGGATCGTTTCCAAAATAGCGGTATCATTGGTAATTCGCCGCGTTAGACTCGAGCTCCTTAATTGGTGATTATCCGATTCCACTTGGCGACGCGAACGCGACCACGAGGGGGTAAGAAAATTCGCGATTCGTCTTATCGTCCGACCGAGCCGCGAGGATCCATCGCGGAGGGAGGAGAAAACGACGGGCGATAAATTAAGTTTTCATCGCGGAAACGCTTCAGCCCTCGTCGGACGGTGGAAAGTCTGGAAAGAAAAACGTTATCTCGCTTTGCGGCGATTCCGGGCATTTTTCCGCGAAGCGAGTCGAACTATTCTTCAATGGCGTGCTGAAAGCTACTTCTATATATCTTGGGGTCTTGGGCAGATCCCGCCGCTTGCCTTGATGGCAAGCTCAATTTATATCAGCGTCCGTTGAAACCCCCTTTACGAGGTCTCGCCGCCTCTACCACCTCCTAAACCTCACCCTAACCTCAAGCCACCCCTGACTCGCCTGGCCAGACCTTGCTGCTTCATCCCACCTTCCGAACCCCCTGAGACCTCGAAAACTCTTTTCTCGGGTTAAACTAAGCTATTCGCGATTGCACGGATGGAATCCACGGGTCGAGAGAGGAGAAAATCGCTGCTGGTCCAACGCGACGACATTTGAATTTCCCTGCGAAATATTCCTCCTGCTATTTGACCACATTTCAGATCGCGTTTCCATCGATAAAGACGAAGTTTCCGAGGGTCGATTTCTCTTTCGCGAATCCACGTGCACGCGACGAATCCGGAACAAGGGTAATCGTTTATGCAAATTCGGTGTCAACTTGGTAGGCAGTTGGACCGTCGGGTAAATTCATTCGGCATCGGTAGAATGTAACGAACGATGTAAATTTCCGGGAAATTTCCACGCGGAAAATGCTAGAAATCGGGAAGGCGACTCGGTCTTTTCCTATTTAACGTTTTCGTATAGCGTTTTCGACTGTACGTTCTTTTCGAATATCGGCCTCGGTGATCGTCGCGACTGATACTGATTATTTGGCCAGCGTTTGTGTTTGTTTCCACCCTCGCCGTGATTCCAGGTGCGTTCCGGGAACAGCTGCCGTGGCGCACGCGCCTCCGCAACGACGATGCGGTGATTGATCAATTTTTAAAAAGCAATGTTCCTAATTGACCCGCCGGCCCGTTTCGGACAGAGGTATTATGGCCACGAAAGGCATCGGTCGAGCAACCTTAGTCATCGAAAGGTGTGTTCCGTTATTCGATCTATACGATATCCTCCGATACCCTTTGCCATTCGCTGCTCTCCGTATGCGTGCGTTAACGATCGATCGACCTGTCTTTCTCGTTAATTCCTTCCACGTAAATTTCTCTCGATTTTACCATCATCGAGGTTTCGCGCGTCTGCACCATAGGGCTTTTCGAGTGGTCGACCATTCGACGACTATTCCAGGATCACGTTATAGTATGTCGAGTTCAACTATAATATCATCGGTTTGACGTTCTTCGATAACCATAGTGCACGATTTTTAAGGTACACGAATTTAATGATCGCTGATCTATCATACTAGGTATGCAATTAGTGCGGGAACATTCGCACTAACCACCTTTGTCCGCGTATCGTCATACAGAGCGATAGTTTCATTCCTGTCATAGCGCAGCCCGTATCGTGATATGTGTAATTAACACAATTTCATAGATATCCGTGATCACCGGTGATCATCAAAGCGGGTGTGCTTTACATGGACGTGGAACGATTCGATGATGACGATTATTAACAATGGCACGATAGTGTTTTATCGCGTTCGGGTAAAATTCGTGCAAAACTCGAAAACGATTGCGTTATCACTCGAGAGCTATGAAACGGGGCATCGAGATCACGACGATCCGTCGTAAATCCGTGGATCCGAAGACAAATCGCTCGTATCCAGTCGTTACGGGGGAAGGGATCGCGAAACGTTCACGTTTCGTAGAATTTGACAAGAAGTCGCGAACGAGACGTTGTTGGCATCATCCGGATGACCAGCGAGGAGGATGAAACGACGCGGAATCGGTTTAGACGACGCGAGCGAGTAGCTTGGCGATCGGCCGACGCTCGGCACCCAATATCGTCGACGAAAGCTCTCGTTTCGCGTGCAGTTATTTCGTAACAGGAGTCATTAGCATTCACCTGCGTTAATTAACGGAAGTTCTGGCGCACGTACGTGCAGGATGCATCAGCCATGCGTAAGGGGTGGGGTATGAAGAGGGGTACGCGATAATGCGCGATATATACGTGGACGGTCCCTTGTGCTTTTTCCCTCTTTTAGTTTGTATCGTCGATGCTCACGTGGCGTGTAACGGCAAATTATCCATGGGCTTTTAGCCGTGGTCCTGCCGTAGTCGTACCGTGAAATCGGCGCAACCACACCCACGAATGCCGCAAGAAACGCTCACGTCGTTGCGAGACGAAATGGATCCGACAAAAGGGGGCACGGATTTTGCGTATTCGTAACGGCGACTCGTCCGACCTAGAGAGGAATCTTTTCAGTTTCGTAGGAGGATTGCATCGCGCGAGATCTAGATGGACACCGACTTGGTCGAACGCGGCGCCAATGGGTGATCTATAGACACTGGATTCGATCCCAATGCACTTAACACCCATCCAGCTCTAATGCTATCCTCTCGTCACGATCATCCTTGAGTCGCAACAGACGTGCCAGATGTTCCTAAGCTTCGCCGAACGAAGCGAGATATTCCTACGCGATAGATCTCGAACGAAGAGAGAGAGAGAGAGAGAGAGAGAGGAAAATAAGAAAATGAAACGATAGCAAACACGATTCCATACGGACCACGGTACACGGTACACCGTTACCGAATCCTCCAGCGAATCCTCCAACTTTGCACCTCGCGTTCGTACCTACTTATTTCAAAGTTCGCATACGTCTGACTATTAGCTCTCCCTAACGAGAGACCAACATCTTGCGAAGTTCACAGCCGAGCCTAACAGGACCAACACGATACCGGCGGTTTTCGTTCTGTCCCGAAACTTAGCGGCTCATAATAAACCGCCTTCGTTGGAGAAATCCGGCGATCGCTTTCTGGCAATACCTGGAGTACACTGGACCGTGTAAATCCCATATATCCAATTAGATTCGTATAATCCCTACATGTTAGCAGAGGGTGTCTCCACCCCTCGGGCTGGCTGGCTATTTCGTTCTCTGTTGCCCCCGGAAGCAGCCTCGGTTGCTCCCGCAGGTAACGCGTTGCTACGTGTGCGTCGGAGGCGCAAGCGCGCATCGTGCTCTAATGCTAAAGTACTAATTTATGGGCACATATGAGATGGCTATAGCGCGCTTTACCGTGCCAGGAAAGGGACTGTAGTCCGTGGAACAGGGCGGAGGATGGCTGGTGGGGATGTAGGACGAGGGTATATCGGAGAGCACAGGGGTGGGCTTTGCATGCGATATCAATAAATCAAGTCCCCGGGACCCCGGCAGCTTAGGGGGCCACTACGTGGCCAGAATCAACAGCTCATAACGTCGGCTAATAGCTACTCGCCGTGGGGTCGAAGATATTGTCGTAACGCCCAGGGACATCTTAACGTCTTCCGTCGAATTTGCTTTCGCGCGGTCGTGAAAAGATCGCGGCAGAAAAGAACCAACCTAACCTACAATACCCGAGTCGTTTTGTAATTGCAGATGGCTAAGGGTCGTTCGATTTTCGCTCGGATCGAAGAGCGGGCGCGCTGATAGTTCCTCACCGACCATCCGACGGAGTCTATAGCCGTTTGCTCGTTTCCAGGTATGGTTTCAAAATCGCCGGGCAAAGTGGAAAAAAAAGAAGAAGTGCAGCCCAGGTTTTCGCTCCCAGCCGGGTCCGCTGCTGCCATCGCATAGCTTGCCCCCGTTTGGACCGATGAGCTCCGATCTCTGCGGTGCCGGGATGTTCAGTGGGCCTCCCGAAAGATGGACCATGGGGACAGGTCAGTCATCGATGATTCCGCGCATCGGTCGTGCATCTCGTGGCCACGATGAAAATAAATCTTATCGGTATACCCGATCTCGAAATTAAAGTCGCCCAGATGTTGCACGATGAATAAACGGATGCGGATTATTTCATCGCAACAAATTGCCCAATTTTACATTAATTACGTTCAATTCCGCGTGTCATCTCGCGTATGCGTAATCATATTATCGGCGTTTCACACTTGGTTACGAGGAAGGTACGAGGTGGCTTAAATAGTAGAACAAAATCTCGACAGTTTCTAATTTAATTTCACGTGTCCATCGTGCTAGACTCGTAAAACGTTGTCTTCTACCATCGAACGATACTACTCTTCGTCCTCCGTCGCGAACTTTTTCCCGTGTACCCTGTCCAGATTCCGAGTCGCGTCGCACTTGTTTAATCGAAACCGCTTGTTTCACAGGCCTTGGGCAATTGGGACAAGGAGGCATGGGAATGGGCGGTTTCGGCCAAAGTTTACAACTTGGTCAGCAAAGTACGGGGAGCCTTGGCTCCAGCTTGGGTCTTGGTAATTCCGGACTCCCGATCAGTAGTCCGTCGCAGGCCGTCTATCAAGCTACTTATGGGCTGAATTCCCTCGGTGAGTTAATCCTATACGTAGATTAGTCAAACTGTAACCCAAAGAGGATTCTTTGGACCGTGTCGTTGCTGGTTTACAAGCTTGTCGTGCGATTTGAAGAAACTAATTATCGCGTATCACAGGTAGCAGGCTAACTGCTACGCGTTGGAAACAGAAATCAGCCGCAGAGACGATTAACATCGAATACTTGTATACGTTTATACGATGCTACATCGATGCTTATAGTAATCGGTGTTTGTGCAACTTTAAACGACGACTCAACGTTTTACAACGCGTGATTCTACGAGGTGATTGGATACGTTATTCTAGGGATAATAAAGTTTTATGTGTTAGTCTTTAAACCGTGATTTAGACTGCGATCGCAAACGTATCTGCCGAGAGAGGAATATTTCCTATCCCGAAAAAGGCGGAATATTAACGTGCCGGACAAACGCAGACGCTTATAGGCGGTTCGATAATCGTCTTGCCAAACTTTTGGACCGTGGCCCTCTAAAAAAGACGATGTGCAAACAGTATCGAGGAACCCGGTACCTCTTTGACGAAGTCGTTAAACGTTACGGTGCATTATCGCTCGAAGGGGTTATGCGCCTGCATGTAAGGAATTTGAGACAGAAACATAAACTCCGTCCTCTCGTCTGTTTACGCAGGCAAACTTCGAGCCTGGTCTCGCACCTAGGTGCGAGATCTTTCGCTGTATGTTTACCATAACATCCCGATGCAACCTGTCTTGGTTGAGTTACGCTTCGGCTTATCCAGAGACCTTGTACCTTCGAAGGTGCTTCGGAAGACGAGACGTGTGTGAAATTCTTTGTCTCACCAAATTCTACCCATCGTACGAGTTCGCTCTCTCTCTCTCTCTCTCTCTCTTACCCTCTCTCCTCTCTCTTTCTCTCCTTCCAATACACGCCTGATACAGTCGAAACGTTTTAAGAGAATATAGGCGCGAAGAAGTTAAAGAAATGGGAAGGCAAGTTGAATGATCGACCAGTTCCCTGTTAGTTTCGTTGGGGTACACGGTGTGATTGAGTAAGAAAGAAGGAAAGAAAGGAAAAAGGTTTAGAAAATGTACATAAAGAAGTAAGGGTTATTTCTTATGATTAGAGCTCATTAAGGGGCTTTGACTTTTCTAAAAATTCCAAAAGAAGACTATCCGCGGGTAAAATTATCGTTCTTCATAAATCGTTAAAGACGTTCCACTCTGTCCAGGTGTTTTCTCCGATTTTTCGTCTTCCTAATTCGCTCAATAATTCATACTTAAATGTATCATATCGAGTACGGTTGTCACGAAACACATATTGACAGGTATAAATGGATTAATTCCGACGGATATACCTGCACCGTGGTTTCTCGAGGTCAACAACTTTTAGAGTTGCCTTTTGCCGTATAGATTTTTTCACTAGCCCGTAGACGATTCTGCTGTTCCTCGAATATCAACTATCGTTCCAGAAAGCTCGTTCATAATTACTTCCTCGGCGACCGGGCGATAATTGAAAAGCAATATTTGCGATAAAAGGAAACTTCGTGCATTCTAATTCGAAAAGATCAATAACGAAAGGAGGAGAGAAAAAGGAATGGTTCGGCAAACCGAGTAGTAATCTTTTCGCTCGTTTCGCTCTATTCGACGGCCAACGTTTTCTCGCCCTATCATTCCCGGGATTAGCTATTCGGTTAAGGCGAGATTTCATCGAGGCGACGATATCCTATTGGAAAGGCAAGGGGTAAACTACATGGCGAAACTGCCTTTGGGTGTAGCACAATTTCACAATGTCCGCACTAATGTGAGCGTGTCTGAAACGCGAACACGTACCTGTGTACATACGTAACACGTACAAGGTGTCAATTATCACGTATTATCGCCGCGGGGCAGGTAGCGACAACCAAAAGGAGAAGAAAAAATGCCGTTCCACAGGCATAATTCAACGTCCGTGTGATTCGTGTGATCTCGGTTTAAGGTGGATGCCAATACTCGAGACTGAGCCTGACCGCAGTCAGTTATCCGCTTTTACTCGTCGGTAATACCTAGGGCAAACACCTTTTAGTGAAACGTCTTATTTTTTCGGTTTTCGATGATGATTAGCATCGAACGGTAGCGTGGTCGAAGTTTGCCGGTTTTCGAGTCGATTACGGAGCTCTATTTTGTTTATTCTCGTCTACCAGCAGTGGGCGAAAGAACGTCTATGAGGTGTGAATTAACGTGGCCGAAAATGCCCGATTTTCGAGTCACGCGCGACCCCCTGAGTCCTTTCAGAGTCGGGACACACCAACGAGCTGTATCCACGAACGAGATTTGCTTTTTAAATCGTTCCCCCTTCCTTCGGTCGTAACCGAGAACAGAATAGCTTCTTTTTTCCTTCGTCGTTTGATAACGAGAAACACTCGCGAGCGAGTAACGAAGACGCTTCACGGTGCCATCGGATGGAATGGCGTTGCGCGAGTCTACAAAGAGACGTTGCAAGATCACGCGCGTCGATGCCATTAGCTATTCCATTCTTCGTTGCTAAAAGGGGCGGACCCGTAGTCCTTCGCAAACTCGTACTCTCGCCGCAATACCGCCATAAAAAGATCCCTTTTCCCCGTTGTCTCTCGCCCGGGCCCACCAACGTGGCGCAAGAAAAGGCGGAAACGACTTTACGACACCCGGTAGCGCACCCCACGCACTTTGTGAGCCTACCGTATTAATATCTGCTGCGAAGAAAGGAAACAACGTTCTCCCCCGTGCACCTGCGGTATCGCACCTGTAAATTGCTACCTCGCGCTACCTGACCCGGCTATCTTGGCCTATCCTAGACTGACTGTTCGACGCGAGACTATAGAGACCACCGAGAGAGAGAGAGAGAGAGAGCTTCACGGCGCGAATGACGAGAGAGCGATGACAGCGGAGAGTCTCATGTGGTAACTTTCAGGGGGTGTTCACGTGTCAGCATCCCGGGGCTCGCCTCCAGGAGGTTCCAGCGTGGGCGGCGGTCAGGGTGGCGGGCTGGGATCGGCCTTGAACTGCGGCCAGGGCTCGCCAGGCACGACTTCCGGCAGCGGAGGTGGCGGCGGCGTTTCCTGCGTGGCTGCCGACGTGAACGCAACCGAGGCGTCGGATTGGAGAGGTGCTCACAGCATCGCGGCGCTCAGGCGTCGTGCCTCGGATGCATCGCAGCAGTACAGCCCACAACCACCGCCACCACCAGCAGGACCCCCTCAGTATGCTCAGGACATGGAGTACAATGCCGGTTACTGAGGTCCAGCGAGCTTCGCGATTAACTCTACGATAAATCCTATCGGGGAGATATTCCAAGGATTCCCCTCGTGGATGGTTCCGAGTGGTCAACGTGCAGGGTAGCAGATCGAAGTAACGCGCGACGCGGAGGAAGGGTGTTTCTCTCTGCCCCGTGATTCTCGCTACGGAGCTGTGCATCTACATCCTTCGCCGTGGCAGATGCACGCTTCCAATTTTCAGCGATTTCAACGATGAACAAGCACCACGGCACGCGATTTTCTCCGTCGAGACGTTCCCGACGACGGACGAACCGTTTGTTGTTACGTTATTTCCCGTTCTCGAACTTCGACACGGCCGAAGAAGGAATTGGACGATGGATTTTGTTGTTTGAGTTACCGGCACTGGCCGTACACCGATATGGAGAACGATACGTTCGAGTACTTGGACGATGGAAATATACGACAAATTCGCCACTGATAGAAATTAAGTCATGGGAGAAGTAAACTGCGATAACAACGAATTTTAGTTGTCCCTGTAATGGTGATAGAACACGTCGAGTTTGTCCTTGCTTGGCTGGTGAACTCGTAATCACGGATAGCGGTTCGAGCGACCATAGAATTTCTATCGATTTCAACAGTGGCAGTGAGTCGTGCCACTGCCTGTCTCTTCTGTCAACGATACGCGTGATCGTGATACTCGAGCAATGAGAAAAGTGAGTTTATAGACTGAACGAAGAAACATCGAGAAGCTCCTGGAGGGTGTTAACGGCGAAAGCGTGGAAGAATAAGAGAAAATGGCTTGGCCGATTAAAAATGTAACGCATCGGTGACTTCTTCGGGAGGATTCGTGACACATTGAAGCTGTGCAACGCCGAGAAGACGCGATGGTTACTTGATATATACACGAATAAACTCAATCACCGATGCTCGTCGAACGATTTGCTACGTTCCATGCATTTCTATCGTGATTAATTCGAAATTTCAAATTTTACGCGCGTATAATTCCATCGTTGCTACAATTGGAACGGGTACGTTTAATTTTCCCCGTATTTTACGATTATACTTCGCGTTTATTTCGTTGACTTCCTCGCGAATTACGTTGTACGAGATCCGGTGGATTTATTTAGTCAAAGACTAAACGAGTTATTTAAACGAGAGTCTGTCTCGACGTTACGAAATATTATTTTCTACTGCGTGTTCTTTCAAAGGAATCTTGCGAATCATAAATAATAAATTCTCACGCCGTAGCACGGTGTAACGAAAAAGTATACGACAAGTTATTATAGTATTACGTGTGGCATTGTAAATATAGTAAAAGATTGGCGTAACAACTATGATCAATTATAATTATTATATTTAGTAATATCACTGATAACTTTCTGGAAAAGCCTAGTTCAGTTTGCTTACGGTTCCCTTTACAAACCTACCTTCACGAACCAAAGGAAGAATATTACTTTCACATGATTTTCCGCAAAACCCGTTGTTTCATCACCCGACACTTGATCTTAGTTTAAGCGAAATAAGTAAAGAAAAGAAAAAAAAATGGAGCCCGTTCAACGATCCCTCTAAGCTTTAATAATTAAACGCGACAGATTCGTATAAGTTAAATCGTAAAAGGAAAATAGGCTAGTCTTTCTCCGTTCGGCTTTCCATAATTCGAACACAGACTGGTTTCATTCCTCACGCGTCATGATGTAAGTAAATGCTCGAGAGATGACGACGTGCATTAAACAAGGTATTTCACATGCTTCGAGAAGACCGGTATGTGTGTGTGTAACGTTGAATGTTGCATGAGAGGAACAATACTTTGCGTAACTAAAATGCAAGTTAGCACTGTTGCATATTGCATTTCCCGAATAATCTCCTAAAACGCTACAAATATAGATTGTTTCTTTTCTTCTACACCGGAGCGTAAGTTTTGTAAATAGAGTATACGTCTAATATTAATAATAATTGAGTATTATAAGCGAACACGGCATCCCATTTACGAACGAACGTATGCGAGTATACTTGGACATTGTGATATTTTAGGCCCGCTGTTCCCTTTTTTTCGACAGCGACGCGCCGTGTACATGATATTGCAAGAAGGATAAGCGGTACTACTGTAGTAATCGCGAACGACGAAGATGACGACGAAAATCACGCCGACGATGACGAAGACGACGACGACTACGACGACTACGACGACTACGACGACGAACGTCGATTATTCTAGTTACGAATTTATGGTAGTCTTAGGTAAAAGTTAGTGATAAATATGAAATGAACGATATGCAGTTGTCAGTGTATTACTACGAAACGTATACGATTTTTAATGTACAAAAAAAAAAAAAAAAGTATAGCCGCGAGACGACGATGTTTTTCTGAAATTTCATCCTGCTGGTACGATTTGTGTTCGGGATGAAATAACTTATACTCGAACTGACCCCTAGCGCGATTCTCTTGTTTCCTCTTTGTTCTCTGTTCCTTTTTCTTTCTTATCGGAATATTTTCTATGCTACCGACTTGCACATTTTTATACATATTTAAATAAGATTATATGCCCGCGTAGATGGCATTTGTCAAAGTACCCCGTGGAATCACGTCATATTTCTCGTTGAATATGCGAAAGATGTAATAATATTTATTTATCAGCTGCGTGAGTGGTTAAAATGATTATTTCACGGATCGAGTCTGTCGAAATGTCGTGCTTGCTAGTAATTGCGTGAATATTTTGCAACGACACGATCGATTACATATTTCACACGAACGTTCGTTTCTTTTCCCGGCCCGCACGTTTTGTAAGCAATGAAACATATTTGATAGAACGTGTCGCAAAAGAGTGGACTGACTTTATGCATCTTTAACACAAATCATTATCGTCAATGACCTTAATTAGTGATAAATAGAAAAATTTTAATTTTTATCGTTGTATAGTTGTGTATAGAAGACAACTAAGCGTGTAAAATAAATCATTATCAAAAAGTCACACTTTTTTTAATGTATATACATATATATCTTTAATAACCACACCGAATGAATCCCGAGAAACAATGCAGAATACCTTGACTGAATTACTTTCAATAGTATAAACACCATTTTTATTTGAAAATATACACTTTCATATTCATGAATTCGTACAATAGGTTTGCGGCAATTCTACGTACTACATAAATATATATTCGTAGCTATTAAGGGAAAATAGACTCGGTACAAAGTTAATAGACGCCTAACTGGTAAATAGAAGAAATGAAATATAAAGCAAGTTGAATACTGGTATAATAAATTTCGATACATTTAAAAGTAGTAAATGCAGTTGGTTTCAGGTACTAGAAAAATGCTGTTTTCTATCGAACACATTTGAACGTGTAAAAATTTGCAGATATCGATTGAACGTAAAAATTTCGAACGTACGATATTCATAAAATATATAAGGATAAAATTACAATTACATTAATACAGACATAATACAGATACTTTATCTCCTCTTTCCTGTATCTTTAAAAGGGATATGTCAATAATTTGTAATACATTGTTACATGGTATAATTTGTAAATAGATATTGACATTTAATACATACAGCACAAGTTTGGTCACTTCTCAAGTGTCATTTGCAAGGCCATTATTATCAGGTAAGTTATAATACTGAGATTAATACTCTTAAATTTCTTTGAATCTCGATATACATATATATGTGTAATATACGTATAATTATACGTAATACGCAATATACGTAATATACACACACACACATATATATATATATTAGAGATATTGAACTTTTTTTACTTTATTTCGAATATACAGAATATATTGGCTATTAATATAGACTCTAACGTTATAAGAAATAATTTAACGTAAAATCAAATGTGTTCGGAATAATAAAATTTCTAACCTTTAAAGCGTCCGATGGCTACTCTTCGTCTGTTGCATATTTTGTAGGAATTATTTTCACCATTCACAAACTTATTACTATGTATATATAAACTATCGTAACTATTCGAACTAAATCAAAACTTTGACTCAAAAAACAAAAAATCTAAAAATGTCTGCAGTTATTTGGAAACACTGATTACACAGCAGTCAAAGAGAACACAGATACTATTGAATTCAATATTCGATTAATCGGTTAAACGCGGTTCAATCTTAAATATCATATTATAATGCGCGCGCACACACACGAACACAGATATTTATATTAATATATATCGCATTTCGTCTCTCAAATATAAATAAAACATTTTAATACTTTCTTCGAGTGTTATTATTATTTAAGACACATAGGATAGTAGTTTATATTAAATTAAATCGATCAAGTTGAAATACACGACTAACGAGATACTAGATTCAAATAATCGCGTGATCCTTTATATTCGGGTATCTTCGGTTCTCTTCGGTTAATTCCGGTTTCTGCGTATAGGCGGGAACGACGTTCGGTTACTGCGTATAGGCGGGAACGACGTTCGTTAACGGTGAACTTCTAAGTAATAATTTCGACACCTTTTTGAACAATACGGTGAAGTAATTACATATACTTAACTCAGTGTGTGATAATTAAGTGATCTTATGTGAGAAGGCAACAATCCTGAGGCATTAATTGGAATATCTCGCAATTTGAATATGGTCTTCGTAAAATTCGTGTCATGGAGACCCAGATTCAAATATACACGCAAGAAGCATAAATGGAAGGAAGGACACGTTTCTTCACAAAGGTAAGTGCCCTAAAATCATATAATTGATCGATTAAAGCACTATTAAATGATATTTGTAAAACTGTTCTCTGGATATTCATCCTCCGAGGTTTCTGGTTCTGTGTTCAATTTACTAAAGTCTCGCGTATTTGGTCGTTTCTTCATTATCTTGAAATTTTTGCCTCTTCTGTTTTCCAAGAGATTAGAGAGTTTAAAGTTTTCTCGTCTCTCGGCTTCCCAGCGCATTCGTTTGCGCATTATTAACAAACATCCTGTTTATAAAAATATACGACATTAGAAAATTTCTGAAAAATCAATTACATCTTTTACTCGTATTTGATAATAATGGCGTCGCGATCTTTTACTGTCATTTCCAATCCAATATGTTGTATAACCTTAACCAAAAATGCGATTATGTAAATAGTACAAAATACCGTCAAAATTTAATCGCTACGTATTTTTAAGCATCGTGCACTATTCGATACTTACATAATTTGTCGAAAATTATTGAAGTTAAATAGGATAACGCGTAGGGGAATAACGAAAAACTTTGTTAAAATGAAAACATATATATTTTCTTTTACAAGATGTGGACATTTAAAATAAATAAATGATCATATACAAGAGGTAGAAAATAAAAAATGTAATTTCTCAAAATTGGGTACGCGCAAATAATTCATAAAAAGAACCTTAGATTCAGTTGAGAGTTCGCTATACTTTAGTTTCGGATACAATACAAAGTTCAATAATAAGACTATAAATCAAAGATATTTATACATTTGTGCAATCACAGAAAGTTTTAAACAATATTTACACAATAAGTACATAAATTATTAAATATTCTATTGTGTAAATGGAAGTCTTATAGAAGTCAAGCGATATGTTAATGGAATGTTAAGTGAATGAAATTTATCTTTCTAATTATAAGCTATGAGAATCCTACTAATAAAATATAAAAAGTGGAACGCTTTCTTTGTAGAATAGGTGGGTTAAATATCAATATAGTACCACGATAATAATTTGTATAATACTTCTAAAAATCATAAATACAATTGAAATAAAAATAATGATCAAAACTTTAATCAGTCATCTAAATTATACATTTATATACAGCTCTCTTGTACTGGTGTAGTTTTAAAACACGAATATAACATTCTAACATTTCTACAGTGTTCAAATTTGATACACAAATATTATTTCCTTTTCTTATAAGTATAATTTTTTTAACAATATAATGAAAGTTATGCATCACCAGTACAAAAGTTTGTTAAATTGTATGCAGTAAAAAGTTTAATGTAAAAAATAAAAAAACCAACTAAATATAAAATAAAAAATTTGTGATGTCAAATTTGTAAAACTAATGGTATTTTACTCTTTAATCACCAAAATGGTATTTTACTAAATATTATGTGGCATTTTACTAGATAACTACTTTCTATAAAATCACTACTGAATGTTTGACCTCGGCAAAACTAATTTGACATGCGTGCACAGCTATTATTCAACAACCCAAAATCAGTCAAATGAATATTCTTATTCGACTAGTTTTGAGAATTCGACAGCGGATTCATCATACTGAAACAATCTACCTCTTTTTTGACATCTTGCTACAACTGCAGCAATTGCTACACAGAGGGCAATAAAAATGACTGCTGCTGTAACAAGGGATAAGACTAATGTTGCTGTTGTAGTACCTCCAGAAGAATAGTAAATATCACTACCCGTTAAAGGTGCTGGTTCATGATGAGGGTTTACATGTGCCACAGAATTTCCAGTTTGGATCGATGCATTTGTATCTATGGAGAAAATGATATAGGTGTTTCTTTAAATGTAGATAGGTTTTATATTTTACTTAATTATCAGTAGTTATCATCTTACCCTGCAAAAATTTATAAGCAGTCTGTAAGTCCAATTCTACTACGTATATCTCTGATCCATCGTCGGTTACGGCTATATCATGTGGTCTCTTCATATCTTGTCCTGGACCAAATTGAGATAATATATTTCCCGTATCTACATCGAGAACAAATCCTCGGACATGGTTATTAGGAGTTACATCAGGACCATTAACCAGATAAAGTTTTCTTTTGGCATATGCTACGCTATATACTTTTGTACCAATAATAGGATGCTTGTATTCTTTATGGAATGTTCCATTGGTTACAAAGAAAGATGAAACTCTACCATTCTCTCTGTCAGCGACAAAAATTAAATTTAGTTCACTAGCAAGTGCTAAAGCATGAGGTATATAAAATGCATTTTCTGGAGGACTCTGCAGATACATGCTTCCTACAATATAAAGTATATCGATTAAGGTTTAACTAAATTTAAATTATATAATAGAATGAATCAAATATAAATGTAAATACCATCCATTCTCCAGCGTCGACCCCATTGTAAAATTTGGTTTCCTTTAGCATTGAATTTAAGAATTCTAGAATTACAGTAACCATCACTGACAAAAAAGTCACCATTACTTTCTACAGCAACTGCTGTTGGTTTGCAAAAGTGTTGTCCATCATTACCAGGTTCAAAAGCTTCTCCAAGAATCAATGAAGGTTTAGGTATATAAGTTTCAATCAGAGTATCAGGATTGTGATTATTAATAAACATTGTTTCTTCATTGTATTGCCTTTTTCTTACTTTTGCTAGATCTTTCATTCTTGATATATCTTCACTATTGAATTTAAATACTTGATGTAAGGCTACATCTGTAATCCAATAATTTCCATCCATGTCTATTGTTAAACCATGTGGTAAATAAAACATATTTGCACCCCATTCAAATAACTTTTTCCCAAATTTATCTAAGAGAATTACAGTGTTTTCTCGAATTGGTCCTTTATTTCTATCAAATCTATTATTTCTATCAAATGTAGTTGCACCCCATGTTCGTGACCCTCTATGAAATATTCCAATGTTTCCATTTGGATCTATAGACACTGCCGATATCTGGCCAAATTTGATATTTTTGGCCCATTGAGAATCCCATATAATATCTATTTAAAAAACAAATACATATAAGCAAATGTATCATATTTTAAACTGAACTTTCAAAAATATTTTACCAACTTTTGACAAATGTATCTGAGGTATGTCGTTCTGTATCAGTTGTAGTCTTCGGTGCATGTTCATTGGAATACAATACTGGCATTTGATTCCCTATAGATCCTCTATCCCTTTCATCATTATCAGAATACTCTGAATATTCACTAAAGCTAAACTTTTGATCAGGTAGATGTATTGGTCTATGCTGTAATATTAAAGATGATCATTAAATAAAAGTAAGTAAAGGGTATGAGTATATGCTAATCTATTTAATCGATATGTATGTTATCTTCACTTCAAAAATGGTTTAAAAAATTACTATAATTAAGGATTAAATATTAATTTTCTTAGATTCTAAATTATTACATATTTTTCTATGTTATTACAACAAACAATATTATCGATCAATTTTTATAGTTCACATTCAATTGTTTCGCTTACCTCGAGGTTTAAATAATTCTGGTAATCCGCTTTGATAGGAGTTAAAATAAATAAAACTGAAATGCAACAGGCAATGTCATGTAGATGCATCATTCTTAGGCAACGCGATCATTAGATTTTCGTATTCTCAATGTATTTGAATAAAAATATTATTTATTATGCGCTTAAGCATCGGTTACGTCGCATAATACAATTTTAAGAAAGCAGCGATTTAATAGACAGGTACCATTTCGAACTTACAAAGCTTCTTCACACCACGCGTATGGTCACTGACGTATGCAACAGTGAACGTGAATGGCCATCTGATGGCAATTTATCGAAATACACACCGTAAACTAGATTGTACGTCTATAAAGATTTGTTAATGTACATTTTCTCTTATCTTATCATTTATGGTGTTTTGCACGGCACAAGACACTTCTGAAATGCATATTTTAGAAGTAATACTAATATATATATAAGATATGTATATTATATAACTGAAAAATTAAAACAATTCGTACCCGTAAAATATGCTTCCAAAACGTGAAACTTTTCTTTTCGTCAGTACATAATGTATTGATTAGTTTCTACGAAGATTAGTAATGTATCTCTTAATTTCAATACATATCCTATCGTTGATTAATAGATAAGTGTATAAATGAAGAAAAGCTCTCTAACATAGATAATAGCATTTTTACTGCATATCTAAAAATTATAGATACGCGAAAGGAGCACATAGAGCATAGAAGCATAACAAAATAGAGAAGAATTTAATATTTCGTGGAAAACAATGCAGGGAGAGTGCAAATTTAGTTATAATTTGCAAAATTACCGAGTGCGAGATTTGATTGGAATAAACAGTGCATCTGTCTCGAAAATTTTGTGTATCAAACGTAATTAGATGTTGCTGGATGCATGTATTTTAATTCTTCGTAATACGATAAGTATCTAGGCTATGTCTACGGTTAGCCTATTGTGCAGTAGCTTTCTACATTGAAGTACTCTACTTAATTTGGAATTAAAAATAAATTATGCTTCTTTCATTTTCTTGCTCATTAAATTGCAACATAATCGTTCTCGCGATTGTTCGACGAGTCACTCTTGACCACCGACATGCGACGTTCATTAGGCCATCTGATGTTGCATTCGATGTCAAGTCGAGGATTATGCGGCCTTGGGCAAACTGGGGTAATAGTCTTGTACTTTGGACGCGCATAACGTGTCTGCGATTAGATCTCACGGGATGGTCCATTATTGGCTTCAACCCCATGAGGCAGCAGGATCTTGCAGTCTTGCCAGGATTGCTCGTCTTCGCGAATATCTTTGATTCGTAGGCGTTACATCGTTACATCATCACATCTCTACATCTTCTCGTATGAGTCATGTCGAGATAATCAGTGACTCGAGTTAGGCGGGGACCAATTGGACGAAAGTACCAAAGCATTGCTATATTTCTGATAAAACGTCTGCTCCATTTTCTTCCTCTATCCGCGAGTTAGAGAAACGTATCTTTGATACAAAAGAGTGCCACTGGGACGATCAATGTATTATGGTCTTTAAGACCTGGTCTCATTCCACAGTTCCTTCTACGCAGCGAGACGTGGTAATCGATATCGTTTTCCCAAAAATATTCTTCTTCGGAAGATCTTTGAAAAGCGATGTCAAACTAGGAGCCAAGCTTCAAATTCACTCGCGAATCTTTTTCAAAACAATTGGTATATTCTTTCGAAATTGCTATGTTCTTTCATCAAATTCGTATTCTACATTTTATTTTCCAGGCCAGTATTTTTTACGTGTTGTGCTTTGCATACTCAAGCGTGTCGATAAAGTCCCGCTCCTACTATATCGACGTGTTATTTCGACGCTAGGTATTGTACCTGCTTGCCGCAGCAAGGCACTACGAGTACCTTTAGTTTCAAATTCGAACAAATTTCAAATTTCATTTTTTATTATAACAATTACGTCTGACTGTCTATCTGTTTTATCAGATGAATTTGAATTCGTCGATGAAATTAATTTCATCTAGCAAGTGGAACGTAACGTTGTCTTAAAATTTCCACTGAAATAACATCCCCGCTGTTTTACAAATGAATCTTGCCCATCGCTTAAATACACGCGCAAACGATCTTACCGCCCTGTTAAGAACCGCGGGCGGTTAATGTAAACCGAAAACCGATTAGCTTGTATTTTACTTTCTTCAACAATTACCTCCCCTGTCGTAGATAGATGAAAATCTTTTTAACCGGTTACAGACTCGCAAGGTTCCCTCTTCGTACAACGCTTTAACGTTATATATCGTCGATATCTTTTCACCTTTGGAGAGATTTTGACTCGACGCATTCGACACGCGTAGCTTTTCACCGTTCGTATCACATTGTTGCCTCGGACATAGATATATTACGCACCTACGAGACTCGTTTCGATCAAATGTTCCATTCTTAAAGCCACGTAGCCCAAAAGGGTTGCCAAGTTTTATTGTCCGAAACTGTGAATCATCGCGAGCGTCTAATGGATCCCTAGAGCGAGCTGACGAATGAACTACTCGCTGGAGTAATCAGATAACAATATTCTTCAAATGCTCTTCCTCGAAATCATATATCGCGTTGTCAGAATCCTTCCATTGACACGGAACTGGCTCAGAAGTGAAACGCTATTCTCTTTGGCTCTATTTTTTATTTCAAACATTCGAACATAGTAATTCCTGCCTGGAACTTCTCTTAGTAATTTCCTCTTCTTTCGAGTCATCGTGAAAATTGTTGAAAAGATAAGTTTGGTCGTACACGTATAAAAATTAATTTAGGATATACGGTATGAATAAATAGAGTATAAAATCTATATTCCGAGGAAGAATGTTTATATAAATATTGGATAAGAATTGGGGGTTAGGCGAACCGCGTCACGTACCCTCTTGACATTCTCTCACGAGTCGGTCAGCCTCTCTAGAGAAGCACTCAGAGGCACATATACCTTCCTTGAGTAATAAAAGACTTTAACAGAGAATATGTATATGGTACTTATTTTACAATTAGAATCTATATATTCCAATGGTTCGTTAAGTTAGCGTTATCTGGATCGAAGGTTCCGAGGGAGTTTTGGGAATTTAACACTAGAACTTCATTGTAATCCAGTCAAAATGACTGGTCCCAGAATTTTCCTTTTTGCAATCACCGAACACACACCTGCTTTAAGAATAAAATTGGTATCAACTCAGATTAAGAAAGAACTGTAATCAATATGTTCACTCATATTCATCGTATCGTTGAAATTACTATAATCTGTGCACGTTATAGTTAGGTACCTATTAAAGATCGGTAGTTCTAGTGTTGAAGGAACGTATCGAAAATGATCCTCATTGATATCTGTCACGTTCTAATAATTTTCATTTTACTTCTCGATCGGTCGGGTAGCCGATGGTATAAATGATTTTAATACAGAATATATACAGTATATATATATCGTAGTTATTTTACAATTAGAATCTGTATATCCCAATGGTTCTTTAACCTAGCGTTATCTGGACAAAGGTTCCGAGGAATTTTTGGAATTTAAGGGAACATATCGAAAATAATCCTCGTTGATATCTGTCACGATCTAATTATTCTGATCCTACTTCTCGATCGGTCGGGTAGTCCATGGTATAAATGATTTTAATAGATAATATATACGGTCTATATATATCGTACTTATTTTACAGTTAGAACCTATATATCCCAATGGTTCGTTAAAGTGGTAGTGTTATTTGGATCGAAGGTTCTGAAGGATGTTTGGGAATTTAAGGAAACGTATGGAAAAATGCTCTATATATGGAAGGCTCTTTGGGAATTTAAGGGAACGTATGGAAAAACGATCCTCGTTGATATCTGTCACGTTCTAATAATTCTGATGCTACTTCTCGATCGGTCGAGTAGTCGATGGTTAGGTTATATACCCTCTGCACTCGACGACCTCTTGGCTAGAGAAGAGTAGAAATTCAAAGATTCTCTACTAAAAAATTGACGATACTTTTCTGAGTAGTAAATAAAGCATTGTAGAATTATTTGATTTCGATATCTCGCACACTGTTACATTACTTCAAAATTTGATATATTAATTGATATCGATCTTGCAAATTTTATGAAATGGTGACTGAAGATCACCTCTCGAGTGCAAAGGGTTAATTGACTTTAATAGATAATATATACAGTATATATATATCGTAGTTATTTTACAGTTAAAACCCATAATTGCAATAAAAATAAATATTCGTTCGATGAATATACCAATCACGGGGCCGGAAGGAATTCGATAAACCTCTCGGTTCGTTCAACAAAAATTGATGGTTTCCAGCTGTTTGGTACAAAGGCAGGCTCCTTCCTCGTCATTGTGCCATTATATACTCGTCGCCGTGGAGCCTTGAATTTTGACACTCCTGTCGTTATATTCGGCCCTGACGGGGCTCAAGCGGCACCGTCGAGGCTCGACAATGGTGCTTATCCTTTGCCTCGACTGGAAGGGTTGCGTATTCGATTTTGTTCTAATCGACACGTCCTCTCCCCGAGCTTCCTTCTCGTCTTACGCTGCAGACGACAGTGATTCCTGTATTGTTGTACGAGCACAATTACCGAACGAAAATAAACGAAAGCCAACGCCAGTCAGCGTAACGTATAGTCAACGCGGATCGTACTTAACGTCGAACGTCGCGAGGCCTCCTCGAGGTAGTCCAAGGGAAAAGAGTTGACACCCACTCGGCAGAATCCTTTATCTTCACACCCCGGACGTGTGCTTCTTCGATTTTTCTTTCGTCGAGAGATCGCGCGTACTGCTTTGCCTATGTCCACGAATTTCTCCCGCGGATAATCCCGTAAAATCGAGGCCGGAGGAATAAGCGGGAAATTCGACGCGAACGACGTTTTAGCAAAAAGTTCGATCCGATTTCCGACGTGTTTTCGCGCGAGATTTTCCCCCGCGAAAATTTCGCGCTCCGCTCGTTCGAAACTTTCCGATCGGCGCCGTCGACGACGCGCTGACAGGCCAAGCGTGTATCGTTCCGCGCGAATTTTCCAGCGGGACGATTTCGCTTCGCGTGAAATTTCCGGCGTTATGAAACGAAGGGAAACGCGGCCGATAATCCT